GGATGCTGGGGGCTTTATCCTGTTGGGTCTTGAAAATCTGCAAGGACAAAGATCCCAGAAACTCTCTGGGACGCTTGTTCTAGTGTTTAATTACCTTTAAGGGAAAAATTTTTTCCTTAGTCAGAATCTCATATATTTCTAGTTGTGGCCATTTTCTCTTGTTCTTTCACGATGTACCTTGGCAAAAAGCCTGGCTCTGTCTTCTTGGTATCCTCCTCCTAGGTACAGAAGGCTGTTATTGGGCCCTCCTGAGTCTTTTCCAGGATGAGTAAGCTTTTCTCAGCTTCTTTTCATAGGACAACAGTGTCAGCCCCTGGGCTGTCATGGTTGTCCTCTGCTGGATTTGCTCAACTCGATCATCTTTTCTGTGCTGGGGCCCCCCAAACTGGACACAGTATTCCAAGTGCAGCCCAGTGTGTGCTAAGTAAGAGAGGATAACCACTTCTCCCAGCCTGCTGGCCGTGCTGCAGTGGACAGAGCCCAGTCTGCTGCCAGGGCACACTGCTGAGTCAGGCTTAGCCCAGTGCCCCCCAGCAGTGCTCTCCCTCTTGCCAGTCAGTCCCCAGCCTTTACTACTGCAAGGTGTTAGTCCAGCCCATGCTGTGACTGTGCAGGGATAACAGTGAGGCTGATTGACCTGTAGTTTCCAGGATCACCCTTCTTGAAGCAAAGGAAAAAACATATGCCAGATATGCAGACAACTCAGATCACAGCTTCCACCATGTCTCTGCAGCAATTTGTGGTTTTTTTTTTAAAGGATTATAAACTGAGGTAGTTACAGAGCAGCTTCATAGGCAAAATAGAAAGCAAGGAAAAAAAGACAGTCATATTTAAAGATATATAAAGAGATGTTGATTGAAAATAATTAAGTTTTAGCTGTACAAAGGAAGCTGAACTAGGGTTTCAAATGCCGCTACAAGCCAAGTGATATAGTAACTAAAGAAAGAAAGAAGTTATGTAAGGTAGGTAAAAGATCTTCAGTATTCAGTTTTGTTTACACTAAGAAAAACATTCAATAGAAACAGCCCCTGTTCCAGAGGATAGTGAACCAGTTGTATCAGTCTTTGAAAAAGGCTTTTGGGGTGAGCAGGTGTGTTACACAACAGCAAGATTTATTTAGGTATGTTGATTGCCTTAATAATTAAAAAGGAAAAAAAATTGCAAGAGTAACCAACATAAACAAAGAAGGTCCTGCCTCGATTATCTCCCAGAATTATTTTAAAATGCTAAAATGTAGTAGATAAAGAAGAGAAGATGGATCTTGAGTTTGACCTGGTTTAGAAATTTCTCTATTCCTAAGAACAGCACATGTCAAGAGCTCTCATCCACTGAAGCATAAGTTTCCCACAAGGATTTTTTTCCCCTCACTTTCTGTTTTAATCAGAAAAGGAATCCAGATACTGAAAAAGTACTTACATGAAAGTAAAGAACCCTTATGCATTTAAATAGTTTTTTAATCAATGTAGTTTACTTCATTTAGGATTTTTATCAGGCAATATCTTGGCTATGAGTGGGCTTTGGCAAGTTTCATAGGAAATTATTGCTGCTTAAGGAGTTTCAGCAAGAACTGGCAAAACATTCAAATACAAAAGCTTTTGAAAATCAGATGCATTTGCAACATCTCAACAATAAGTGTTCCATTATAATTAAAACAATACCATTAGTCATGAATATTTGTAATCAAGGGCGGATCTGCTGAGGTGGAGGTATCACAAAGGTCATTCCTTGCCTAGCATGCATTTTTCTTGGCTCATCTTACCATTATATCTGTACATCTCATTGATTTCTTCAGATATCTATATCAGAAACCAGAAAAACAAATCAAAAGTACAAAATACTGTGTGGGAAGAGGTGTCATTTGAACTTATCACACTGTCTATATCACACACAACAAGGAGAAGCAGGACTTCTGTTCCCTCTGTGTATGCACACAGAGTACAATATATTCAATATTTTTGTTTTCTGACCCAAAACAGCTGTGACAACACTTTCAAGACTTCAGTGGCAGTGGCTTCCTTCAGTGTAAATTAGATGGACCAAATTTTCCTAACTTATTCTTGAAACCACGCTGCCAGGATGCTTCTTTCTTTTTTTTTTATTGATACACATAAGGTTTCCCTGAGAGCACTGCTCCCACAAGCCTAACATTCTTGCTGGGGAATGTTCTTCCTTCACTTATACCAGTGATCTCAAAAGGAGAATTTGGCCTACAGATCAAATTCCCCAGCTCCCAGCTTTCTGTTTGGAGAGGCAACCAGGCATTCACAAGCACAGACAGTTCTTTAACTGCTGTGGAGGTAGGGATGCACAGCAGGAAGCCCAGTCTCAGCAAAGCCACTTTTGTATTAAATTCTGATATCTGATGTCAGTTTATTGATGTCCTCAATGGACTTATGCTTTATTCAAAAACATGCAAGTTTAAATTTAAAAAAAAGGTCTGTAAATTGTGCCCCTGCAGAGCTGGTGATATTTTAGGGAGGCTGTGGGTTTCTGTGAGACTTCCTCCAGCTCTTACAGGGATAAGTTGTAGAACTTAGTGCTTAACTGATGTCTAGTCTGGGGACCTTCTTTTCTGCAGTTGTCTTTTTGATGACATCCACAGCAAGTGATTCAAGTGTCCCATGTACTGAGAGCAAGGATAGGGGTTTACTTGCTGGGGAAACAAGAAAAAAACTGTAAGAATCTTGGAGGAAAATTTACTTATCATCTTGACATGTGTAGTCTTCAATTCTTGCATATATTAAAAAGCTGAGCAAGGTCACTTTGTGTATCCAGGGCCTAATCAGTATGCTATTAAATATACTTTTTTTCCCAGTTTTAAGTGCTACAGGACACATTATAGGTTGTAATATACCTATACAGGGAACACATTTTCCTCTGTATCTTATTTTGAAGGCATTTCTCTATTACACAGTCAAAAGCTGTGAACAGATCGTTCCCTACTGGCTCCAGGCACAGTGCTGCAGACGAGTGTGCTCCCAGCAGCACTGCCCTCTCCTGGGGACAAGGGATCAGCAGGTGCACAGGGAAAGGGTTGGCTTCTGCTGCTGTAACAAAAAATGTGGAATGTCTTATTTGTATGATTGAGAAGCAAATCTCTCACATGTGTGAGAAGGAACCAGAGAGCCAAAAAGCCTATTCCTGAGAAAAAAAAAAAAATCTGAACAATTTTCTATGCAAATAATACATAGAATTATATAGAATGTAATATATATATATAATTACAGAATCATAGAATGCCCTGGATCGGAAGGAACTTTCAAAGATCATCTTGTCCAAGCCCCTGGGATGGGCAGGGACCATCTCCATCTTTCTTGTCAGCTCCCTTCAGGTACTGGAAGGCCACAGTTAGGTCACCCCAAAGCCTTCCCCAGGCTGAACAGTCCCAATTCTCCCAGCCTTTCCTTGTAGGAGAGGTTCTCCGTCCCTCGAATTGTCTTGGTGGCCTCCTCTGGACTCACTCAAACAGGTCCATGTCCTTCCTGTGCTGGGGGCCTCAGAGCTGGAGGCAGCACTGCAGGTGGGGTCTCACCAGAGCGGAGCAGAGGGACACAGTCACCTCCCTCAGCCTGCTGCCCACACTTCTGATACAGCCCAGACACGACAGAACCTTTCCATGGTCACTGTAATAACAAAGAGAAACAGGGCCAAGTTAACCCTGCAGAAATCCTGGTGAACTCAGGCTCAATCTGGACTCTGATGTAGCTGATTTCTCTTCTTGATTTGAGTGTTGACTGATGAACTCCTGCAGATTTAGAAAGAATGTTTTAGGATGTTACCACCTTACCTGCTGACTTCTCCTCCCAGCTAGATGTCACTGCCACCAATATTGACCAGCATGAATTAGGCATGTGAGCATTGCTAATCAGCTGCAGAGCAAAGACTGACAGATTTCTAGACAGAAAAAAAAAAACAACAGAAACTAGGCCTATATACATAAATAAATTTTTAAGTATTTGACATAAATCAGACATAGGTAGTAAGAAGATGTAGTAACAGTGATTCACACAATATCTCACACAATATCTTACACAATACACAATTCTGATGTAATACAATCAGTAATACAATCTTAACCTCAGAAATCATCCATCTCCAAAGCTCTGTTTGGTCTGAAAACAGACAGTGTGACGATGTGTCAAGTTATTCAGAAATGTTGCATGGTTTTCATGGAAATAGAATTTAAAATACTTTTAAAGCATGCAGTTAAGAAGCTTTTGAAAACATTTATCTTTCACTTCTTTAGGACTTGAGCTATATCATTTGATCCAATGTAGAAGTTTTAAGAACCACTGATCTGTGTTAATTTTCCCACTTTCTACTTAGTTCCTTCAGTATAAAAAAAACACCCCCAACCCCAAAACCAAAGCATACAAAAACCAAATATTCTGACAGTTTCTTGGTTTCCAATGAGAATAAAATTTTACTTGTATATCTTTTATGTGGAGATTCACATATATCCTCAAGGATATAATTTGATTGTTAGAATATTAAGGAATTGTAGAATGGCCTGGGTTGGAAGGGACCTTAAATATCATCCAGTTCCAATGCCCTGCCATGAGCAGGGACACCTTTCACCAGACCAGGTTGCTCAAAGCCCCATCCAACCTGGCCCTGAACACTTCCAGGGATGGGGTATCCACAACATCTCTGAGCAACCTGTGCCAGGGCCTCACCACACAGTAAGGAATTTCTTCTTCTGCTACACATTCAACCCTCTGGAGGTTCTGTGTGCAGGTCATATGATTTCCTGGCATAAACCTAAAAGGAAAAGTAACCCCTGACCTCCTGGATTTTGTTCTCCTTAGCAAGCACTAAGAAATCACTAGAAGTACAAAGTGTAAAAAGCATTTTAAAAATAAAATGAAGACCTTATTTATCTTGGGAAACTTCATGATGGCAGAAAAGGAGATACTGACATCCCAGAGAATGGAAGTAAAAGCCTGAATAATTGAAATAATTTTTTTTCACTGAAAGGTCATTAGTTTATTTTTTTTCAGCTCTTGCAACCAGTGAATCAACTGGAGAAGGCAGCAGTTGTTTGAGATTTGTCATCCCATTGCCTACGTGTACAGTGCATGATCAAGAAAAGGGGACACACCTGTCTCCAGGAAGAGAGAGAGCAAGACCTGACAAGGCTGGTAAAATTAAGTGAAGGGTGAGGAAGGAACACAGGAGAAGAAAGGAACTCTCACTTGAAAAAAAATGAAGGTAAATGTGAGGAAACAAAAAAGAATAATTGCAGTTTTTAGAAGTCCTTTGCTGGCCATCTTTAAGTGTCCCCTATAATAATTTACCTCTAGTTAAGTGTGGAGATAGGTAGAAGGGAATGGAGCTACAGAGGAAAAAAAAGAGCAAGAAGTGGAAAATAAAAGGGTTGCAGAGTCAGGGGCTGCATCCTCCTGATTTAGAGGAATCCTCATAAACACTCAGCATTGCTGTGTTATCAGTGGGACTACACTGAATAAAGTAGACTGTAATGCCATAAAATGTCTATCTAAGGCATATCTGCACAGACCTATGAAGCTGCAAAAGCAAGTCAAGTTCTTCATAATCCAGCTTCTTAATTAAACAGGCATGATGAAGCCTGGTGGCATGAGCTTCACCATGGCATGGGAGCCCAAAAACAAGCTCTCTGAAGATGCTCTTACTGATGCTAGTGTAGCTTGAGCTAACTATAACATAGCTGGTGTGGATGGACTTGTCAAGCTCAAATGACATTTTCTCTGGGCTGGCTAGGCATAGGTAATCGGTTGATTGCAAATCTCAAACAGTAATGTAACTGTTTGGGAGTGTTTGTTAACATGGCAATGTTTATTAAAAGCATATTGAACATAACTCTGAAAGCACCTAGAAAGAAGACATAATTACGTGAGGAACTTCTATATAGTTAAGCAAAATATGTATTGTTAAGTAACAGCTATTTTATGATTATTTTTTCAGGGTTTTTTTATGATATCTAAGTGTTGTGCATTTCCTCCACACCTAAAGAAGAGTATCTTCATGAAAATTTCTTAAACCAGGAAATATCCAAGGTCTAGGATGCAGAACTGAATTCAAACATGATTTTTCCATCACAGAGATATAGATATACTTTGCAATATTACACAGTAATTTAGGAATCTAGTCATCCTTCTGATGCATTCAGAAACTATTTAGTTGGTTTTATTGCCTCTGTCTAATTGCTCTTTCCATGACAGTTGTGCATATTTGGAATAACTTCAAAATCTTATGGTTCTGACAGTTGTTAAGACAGCAGGCTAATTGCCTATAACATAAACCACAAGTATATAAAGACAATTTTCCACTCACTTACATGTATTGTAGCATCTTGTGATTCTTTCCACAAGATGGAGATTACCCAAGATGTGTTGCAGTGAAAAACCAAAATCCTCCAAGGAGTCCTAAATGTGTCCAGTCTTCCTAAATACAAAGTTCTGGACACAGGGAACTTGCTTTATTTTTAATTCATTGCTGTTTAAACCAAGGTACTCTACAATTTATGTGGGATTACAACTGGTTTGACCATGCAAAAGATCTGTCCAGCCATGTGATACTTAACAACTCCAATAACCCTCTATCAGATATCAACTATATAAAAAAAATCTCAAAAATTATCAAAATGGAAACAAATGTCTTACTGTCATCTAAATGCACTGAGGTAGGTGCTAATTGGGGATCACTGATACAGACTGTTGCTTGAAGAAATCCTTGTGTTAACACCTGTCTCAGATGTAGGCACAAATCTTTCATACCTTTCAGCACACAGAGCAACTGCAATCATGCTCCCAAAGAACTGAGTGCATTGTTCTTTCAGCCATGGGTGTCCTGAAATGCTCACACTTTTTTTGATTGCTGGTTTCTCAATCGTTCCCTTTGCAAGTCACTGGAGATTTCACACCAGTTTATTCCGTTTCACAATGATGAAGAGTGTAGGAAAAAGAAATTTCCCTTAGTACAGAGAAGTTTGAGGTTATTTTCTCAGAGCATTTTCCAATTAAATTCAAAGCAGTTTGCCAGTTTATTGTGCTGGTGGGTGCACTGAGCCTGATACAGGGTATGTTATTTGCCTCTAGATGGTGCTCTCACGTTGAGATTAAACAGTTCCATCACCTTTTTCATTACACGTTTCAAAATTAATAAATAATAGTAAAATATTTCTCTCAAAATCAAAACAAACCCTATCATAAGAGCCAGTAAAAAAAAAATTACCAGAATGCATATGAGTGTACCATATGGTAATTTCAGATATAGCTGATATCCCTCAGATTGTTTAAGGAAGTGATGTTAACTCTAGGAAAATCAGCACTGGAGCCACATAATATTTAATAAAAAGGTGCAAATTCAGAAAACTTTAAACCACATAATGGACTTTTGTTAAATAATACCTTTATGGTTAAATAGCATCAGTTCCAAACAGGTGATCATCCAGCATTACAAACTGGAAAACAAAAGCAAAGGGATTACTTGTTTTGTCCAAAGTCTTGAAAACTGTTCTCGGGGCGTGGGTGTGTGTAGGTGATGGAACATTTGCACTTTTGAACAGAGACAGCAGCTACTGATTTCCATGTGGCTAAAATGTCCCTCCTGAATGTCCTGCTAGGGAGGAAGCATGACTAGGCTTTACTCCACAGCAGAGAATAAGCCCAGAGTAGGAGCACAGCCAAGGGCCTTCCAGTTGAGAAGCCGTGTTTTTCCTGGAGAAGTAGGAAAGCTGCATGTTGTCCCAGCAAGGCCAACCATCCACATTTTTTTCCCTGTATCTACAGCTGCTCTGGTACTGGAATTGCTCTCCCACAGTCACCACCACTACTGGCTGCACAAGTGTGGTCTCTGAGTGCCTCAAACTCGTACAAGACTTGGGTTGTAACTTGGGCATTTTAACAATGAAGCTCAAGAGTTTCATTCCAAGAACAAATTCCACTGTTGGCTGTGGTTTGTGTGGATCTGTGCATGCATGTTTCTACTCAGCATTCTCCTTCACGTGGTGCAAGTTTTATGCCAGAAAATAGAGGTGATTCTCAGAGATTTCTGGCAATGTCCATTGCCTTTGAGCAGGAGGTAGGTTTTTACATCATTTATAAATGATGTGCACCCTTTTGGGTTTATTTTTGCTTTCAACAAGCAACTCTTGCACAATTCTACCCAGAGAGAGCTCTAACTGAGGTGGCATTCATCAGTAAGAGGGCCTCTTGGTCCCAGCATTCACTTCCTATTTCTTCTGCCACATGCAGCTGTGACACACCCAGGAGCATTTTGGTTAAAAATGAAACAAAGGAAAGTTTTGGAGGCCAGCACTGTCTCACTGGTAAGTCTGAAATTTAAGCTGACTCCTGGGGAAAGAGTAGCTTTGCCTTCTTTTTGTAGTAACTTAATAGCCATCCTAAACCATTTTTTTTTGTCCTCTGTCCCCTGCAGTGACAATTATGCAGGGTCCACCTTGCTGCCTTCATCCCAGGCTCACATTTGAGTAAGCCCTATTGCAAAACACCAGTCTTCATTCCTTCGCTTCCTCTCCTGGACTTTAGGTCTCTGTTCATACCAGCTGTTCCAGTTCCAGGTGAAATGGAACACCCAATTGCTCATGATGAAGATTAGGGTGTCAAACTCTTCTGCAGCAGTCAGTGCTCCCACACGCAGAGTCTATTTTCAGATAGCACAAGATCAGACCTGTAAATTGTGCAAAGCTGGCATTTAGTGTGCCCTTTAACATACAAATGCATTGGACAAAAGCAACTGAGACTCCAGCTTGTGTTAACCCTGGTTAATAAAGAAAAGAAAACTGAAACTTGGAGATTGCAATGTGAGGGATTCTAGAAAATACTGTACCAAGCATTGCTTCCTGACAGGAATGACTCAGCAGCTGCTTTTCTTACTTTAATGTGACTTCTGGTTAATAAAGCTGTACAGAGGGAATGATCAAGAATATTTATTCCCTATGGATCTAGTATTGAATTTTTTTCTGTATGACCTGACATTAGGAGTATCTCAGCTTCTGTTCTCTAGGATCTGCTCCATTAGCCACTTCTCAAGCCAATCATTTTTAACAGAGTCATAGAACCATCACAGAAAATCCTGAGTTGGATGGAACCCACAAGGATCATCGAGTCCAATCCCAGGACTTTTGCTCTCAATTTTTCTGCCTGCAATAATTTAAAATACTAGATCATCTAAACATAGTAAAATTGTAAAAGCACTCCCAGCAAAGTCCCAGACAAAGCTACTGTACAATAAAACCTGTATGCTTCTTACACACATAAGAAACACCTCCTTAATTCAACATACCAATTCCTTTTCATCTTTCAGGATTCAAACACGTCAGGAAATCACTGCACATAGAATTGTGAAATTCTGTGCTCCAATATTAATATTTAATAGCAACTTTGATGTCAGAGCCACTATTACCCTGAATTCTTTGTTTGAAAAGAAAAATCAACTGGAAGGTACAAATCTATTGAAATAATTCTACATCTCATATAGTTTTGTCTGTAGAATTATGGATATAATTAACTAAGAAGTAATCTTTTGGAAAACTTTATTAGGAGTAAGGGGTACGGATTAGATTATTTTTAACATGAATGTCTTTAGCATGGTATTTCAGTATCCTCCATAACAGTAATTTAATAAAAAATAATTTTTCAGAAATACCTCAACAGTTTTTTCTACATGGAGACCTAAGATGGCAGATACCATTTATATGACTGAAATGATGATGACCATGCTGCTCCCCAGATTTGCCTCTAAACTGCTCCTCAAAATATCATTCCAAGGTATCCACTGGCGTGGCTGCTCTTGTGTTCCAGGCTGCAGTTTGTCCACCATCGTGGTTTCTCTAACGCTGGTTTCTGTTTCATTAACCCCACTGTCTTCTCTGTCCTCGTGTCCTCTCTGTCCTCAGAGCTGCAGCAGGGACTCACACAGATGTCATGGGGGTAGGAGGTTAAATGTCAGTCACAGAGTTCCAATCTAACAAGCAGACAGTGTGCAGACGGAGAAAGTGGGGAGAAAGGGAGGAGAGCTGAGAATTAAACGACACTGGAAGGCTGACTGTGCAGCTGCACTTGCACTCACCATCAAAACTGGCCAGTGCCCATCACACAGCAGCTGTAATCCATTTCCCTGCAAAGGGAGCAGGTCTGAGGCAAGCACAAAGCTCACACCTATAACCCAGATGCGGGTGGATTAATGACCTAAAGGTTTAAATTACAGCAAACACGGGAGCCCGTGCGTCCCTCTGCCACAGACGGCCAGAACACATTAGTGAGCAAACCTCAAACCTCACACCAGAGTCGCTCCTCCAGCTTCTTGCCTTGAGGCATCACATTGTGCAAAATGTCAACACTTCACTAGGTGAGGGCAGAGGTTCGTGTTGCCAGGGGCAGTTTCTTGCAGTTAGCTGCTGGTAGGCCAACAAGGTGGTTTAAAGGCAGTGGGAAAGAAGGAGCTGAGGCCTGTAAAGCGTGTTAGGAGCTGTATGAGCACGTTCTGTGGTGTGTGTCACTTACTGAGTCAGCTTTGTGCATTAAAAGATATTTCTTTTCTCCCTTCTAAGAATGAGGTTTGTAACTT